GAACAATCTTTTCAGGAGGTGTCACACTGGGCAGACATGCCTCTGGAATTCGTCCTCATTGGCTTGGATGGGTGCGGTACGACCTCTTTGAGACGAAATCTGGCAAAGCATCCAGCTCCTATGCTTGAACTATCCCAAACTGACAAGGTTGTGAGGTTGCTGGAGAGTGAGGCAACGCCTGCTTTGCTTGCACACCTGAGATGCTAAGGATATCAACTTTACCCATTTGAATGTCTTCAGCCAGGACTGTTCTAGGAAACATATCCAGCAATATGCATTACACTCCAGCCTCCATCATCCACACCTGGCATTTTGACTTGAATCATGATGCATTTCCATAGGATGAGGACTACTTTCTTGTGGAGATGGGTCGACAGACTCTTCCGTACATGCGGCAGGCCTTGCAAACGGATAGCAGCACAGCCTTCTCTAGCATCGCATAAGATTCCCACTTGATTTTTGACGTTGTACAAAATTACTTCAATAGTGTTCTTTGTTTCTTTCTTGGTAAGTAGATTGCAACTAAGTGGGGCAAGTGTGTGTGTGTGTGCGCATTGTCCAGGTCTTGTGCTAGAACGTGTGGAATCGTGTGTCTAACGCTTGTGTCAAGTGTTTCCTCTTAAAGAGCTCAAGAGGATTGATGTGTTTGATATGGGGTTGCCAGGTGGAACGTTTAGTCGCACATCGAGCGCAGATGAAAGCAGAAAAGGTTGGGATATACCAGCCTTTGATGTGGCAGGAGGACCAGCTGTGTGTTGGTAAACAAGGTTGAGCCTATGTGGCGCACCAAGGCCAATGCGCGAAGCAGTCTCAAAAGTCAGGCTTCGCCGGGAACACGTGAGGAGCTGTTGGAGCACTTGTTGGCCAACATTCCGAATCTACGTGTGGCCGGGGTCCCAGGATTCAGTGTGCAAACAATAAGCTACTAGGAACAAGTGCATCGCTTCTAGTAACAAGTGCCTTACTACTAGTAAGGCACTTGTTACTAGAAGCGATGCACTTGTTCCTAGTAGCCGGGGTCCCAGGATTCAGTGTGCAAACGATGCCTAGGAATCACCCCAAGCGGATCGAACCAGCGTTCTTGTTGATGTTTTATGTTCTCAGAATCGAGCACCGTGAGCCAACTTGCGGCAGATGGTGGCGGTCTGCGACCCCTTGGATCGCTTTGAGCGGAAGTTGGATTTGGAGGCTCACGCCGCTGACATTTTGGAGCAGGTGGGACGGATGGGAACCTGGGATATCTATGAATATGCAAATGCCGAGAGCAGGAAAGATCGGCTGACCAGTTTCTGATGCAAAGATAGACATGCACCTGCTGAGCAAGTGCGTTTTTTCTCCAGCATTTCGGCTCATCTCAACTTTGATTCCTGAGTTTACCGCCTCTCATTCCACAAGGGATGAGGTCCTTGCTTGCCATGCTTGCTTTGCTGACTCCCGTGGTCGGGGACTCCAGCTCCTGCGAAGAGCAGCCGGTGCAAGCTGCTGCCCTGCTGCAGCACACTGGCCCGGCACATCATGGAGGGGCAGATCCAGAAGCAGGTAACGGCACCAGAGTCTCTGAGGACGAGGACACTGACCTTGGCATGAAGCACGCAAAGTTTCAAAGCTATAAAAGTGTACCCAAGTGTCACGTAAGAGTCTTTTTCCTGAGTATTTCTGTACAACACCACTGTAGGGGGAATGCTGTGGCATGTCCTGGTTTTTACGAGTCTGCGCTTGAGGAGTTTGCGCACCACTCTTCCATCGAGCTTGTCGAGGAGAGAGAGGATGAGAGCGAAGAGGAGGGTACGGAGATCTTCGACTGCCGCCGTCGCCGCAGACGCCGCCGTCGACAGACGAACACTCTCAACAAAAAGTGCTGGTATCAGATGTGGTCGGACAGCATGTATGAAGGCTGGAAAGGGCATTCCAATCCATTTTGCAGGCTTGCAAAAGAGCTGTCTGAAGAGAAACATGGAAAACATGGAAAACAGCAGTTGTTGCATGTTCAACAGTGTTCCACAGCGACATTTTGCAGGCGCCTGGTTGAATTATGAGATGGGCACCTTTGTTTGCAGCGTGAATATGTGTTTTGTGCATGTTTATGTTGTTTATTTTACAATTTTTTCGAAGTCTGAGCCTTCGGGATGCGAAACAAACGAGCTGTGCTTGCCATGCAGGAGACAATCTTTGCGATGATTTGTCCGCGTACAACAGTGGATACTACGACAACAAGCTCAGCTCGGGTTTGCAGGGTGCCACTCCAGGTGAGCCAGAGAAACCACTCTCTTGGGAACATGGGACATGGTAATCTCATGTTCAACCTATATCAGCCTTGGTTGTCTTCAATATTGCCGTACATGTTCACAAATAGATTGCACATGATTGATGCACAATCTTTTCAGATCTGTTCTATGTATATTTAATTATAGAGATTGCTTTCGATGTACACGCGTGAATGAAATAGAGTGAATCCAGAAATATGGAGCGTAGAGCATGAGTCTGCATGAGTTTGCGTTCTTTTCGACGTGGTGTGAGTTCGCCAGGATGCAAGATCATGTACTACGACAGCACAGACTGTTCAGGCTCAGCCATGTACACAGTGGATGCCACGAGCAGTGCTGTCGCAGTGACTGTGAACAAGCAGCTTGGTCTCAGGGAGTGTAGATTCGCTTGGGCTTGTGAGAGGTTTGTTGAATATTGGCGAGTTAGCTTTTGAGGAAGCAATTATATAATTACTATAAGTATTTGATATGATTGGTACACGAGGGTGCCTGGATGCTTTTGCGAGGAACAACTTCGACAGCATGAGCGACAAGATCTCCAGCATTTACTGTACTTGCCCCTGAGCATGCTTTGTGCTGTCGGACTTTGGCTGATCCTGAGTCGGCGGTAGAGCTGGCTTCGATTTGAATTTGAAGGATCTCCATGTTTGACGGCATAGTGGTGTCCGTTTGTCAGGGGTAGCACTGGCAAAGTCGGAGCACCAAGCCTCTTCCCAGAAACAACCGCCCTCGGATCAGCACTGATGCTTGCTTCTCCAAGGTTTGTCAAACTATAGTAAGTCTCATTCATTTCGACTATGACGAGTGTTGCAGCTGTTGTATCCACTTTGAGTGGCCTGCTGTTGCAGCTTTGTTCGGAGTTTGACGATGTCCGATCCTCCAAGCAAGTCTATCTACCAAAAAGAACTAATCAGTAGCGAAACTGAAGCTTCATCCCGTGGGTGTGTTAAAGTGCAGCCCTGGCAGGTGCACCAAAAGGTGAGTGACACCAGGCGAACCCGTTTCGCTTCACAAGCGGATACTCCACGTGCCAATTGCGATTCATAGCCTCCACCCTAATAGCGATGGCCTCCACCCTACAAGCGATGGCCTCCAACCTGCTCACGATGGCCTCCAACCTGATAGACTGATTCATATTGATAGGGATCAGCAGAATGGTCCTTTTCGTGATCAGGCGAGAGAAGTTCTTGTGGATTGAAGCCTGTAGGACTCAGTAGGACCCCGTTTCAGACTGCAAATACGATCCACATAGATCCACCACGCAGGTCCACTTACTTCTCCGAAGCTCTAAGATCCTGGGGCCGCAACTTTGCCGGTAGGGCGCTCTTCATTGAAAAGGACGGTGCCAGGGTGGAGACATCTTTCACATGCAGGCGGAAACACAACAAAAAGAACAAGCGATAGCAGCCTTTTAGGTGCGTTTATAAAAGAAGGTGTTCTTCTTTGTAGTCCAAGAATGTCCAAGAGCTCAGTGAGGACATGCAAGCTGCCCCAGAAACGCTGGAGCGCATCACAAACTTCTTGGGCATCAGGCTGGGATGCTGATGGGTGAAGCCACGGTTGGGTTTGATGGAAGGAGGGCGGCTTGGAAAGGAAGCCTTGGGGGCCAGGCTGGAACGCGTTAAGTGATGAACACCTTTTGCTGGGATTTTAATATAATCCTGGGCCTCTTTCAACTTCTTTCTGCATTGCTTGGGTCTTTGTTTCTGGCGAGGCCATTCCCGCAGCAGGTGCGCTTCAAGCGCTACAACTCTCGGGGCCGAAGGCGTTCGAGACTTTGCTCTCATCCAAACTTGGTTCAAAACCTGCAACTTGGCAGCACAGAAATCACTGGTATCCCCAAACAACAGTGGTTTCCATGGTTTTCCCAATCTCAGGAAAGGTCTCTTTGAGCCTGAGTACAACCTCTTGGAGGCTCATCGCACGGGGAAACCTTCAGTGACGCTGTAGTGAATGAAGTGACATGAGAGCGCAGACCAGATCTGAGATTATTGTACTTCAATGATTAGCACATGTATGAACCCCAAACTAGTGCTTCACCCTGACCTTTGCAATTCAACAAGAAAGAGCATGCGGTGAGAATTACCATGATTTACCATCCAATATTCCATCAAATCATTGGGCACAACCAGAGAATCATGGTGTCAGTTCTTTTCACCAGGAGATCCTCGGTGCCGCCGCCAGTGAACGTCTCCGAGCGCGGCGCACCCGCTGCGAAGTGCCCGATGACTTTAAGGAGGACGGACATGGCTGCACGCTTGGCAGTGCGTTTGGACTGCGGTTTGAGAAGGTTTCTTGAATATTCTTGAATGTGTAGCCTCACTGTGAAGTCAAGCAATTTGAAGTATGCACATCTATTTATGTGTGTTTTTCAAGAGAGAGAGAGAGGCACTGGACTGGAGGTTGCCAGGTACTTGGTGAGCCACAGATCTTGCACTTGCTTTTGGATCCCACAAATCAGCAGGTGACAGTTCAGATACCATATCCATGCCCTTCCATTACGTTTTGGGCGGGATTTCAGAAGCTTTTTAGCAGGAAAGCCTGAAGTGGATGTTAGAGCGCAAAGAAAACGCGCGTGTGCCCGGTGCATTAGATGCAGCAGACTTATCCTTTGCTTTGCTTTGCTTTGTTTGTTTGTTTGTATGGCAACATATTCAGGGGCAACTCGTGAATGGAGCAAGCTCAGTGAATCCCGCGTTCCCATAAGTGGCATCACATCATGGTTAAACCTGCCAGGCATGCATTGCGCGAGTTCTGCCAGGAGCAGGGGAAGGAAACATTGCACATGCACCAGGGTCAGTAGAACATACCATTGAATTAACACCTGGCAAGGTCCAACGTGCTTGCAGAGTCTCAGCCTGCCAGAGTTAGAATATAAGGATCGCAAGAAGGGAAATAATGCTTTGTCCACCAGAGTGAGTTGATGCTGTTGAGCACGAGGTGCTTTGGTGGAAATGATTGGGAGGTGCTAGTTCCTTGTGTAGTTGGAGGAGTGTGGCTCTGCTTTGACCATCATCTATGCCAGCAACTGGCTGAGAGGGCACCCCTGTGGGGTTCAAACTAAGCCTGGCACAGACTGGCATATTATGGACACTATAGAATGAAGCACCTGGGAAGTGAACCATAGGGGCTTGAAGCCGTGGCCTTCCTTGATGCAACACAACATCCCAACATCTCCAGTGAAGCTGAAGATGCGCACTCTGAAGGTTTTGGAGGTCGAGCTTTCAGCATAGCTTTCAGTATTAGTAGTGGACTCTCGGTGTTTAAGTTTTCAGATTTTCAGTTTAACATGGGTTGTGTCAAGCTGAGACCAGCGTGGCACTATGTGGATCTCGGCGGCAGCCTACGAGAAGGCAGCCTTTGCAGGCATGTGCTCAAGGATGCTGCAGCGACAGGCGGCAGAGTGAGTTCCATTCCCAAGCAATGAAAGAAACCAACTAACTGTTGTTATACTCTTGCTACACCCTACTGTCATTGTTTCTGTGCTCATGCCACGCAGTCGATGCACATTTGCACGGACTCTGCACCACCCTGGCATACGCCAAAGACATGGGCCTGGGAGCTTGGACTGGATTTGCTGATCACATGACGTGGGAAGCTTTGAATCACACGATCACATTGATCAAATTTGATCAATATGGATCACATCCAGTTGGTTTTTGCATTGAAGTAGATTGAAGTGCTTGTGATAGCAGGATTGAGCAAGCAAACATAAGTCACAAAGGAACTTTGAACGTCTTCCAATATAAAATTCAAGAAGGTCCGCTGGTTCCCGCCTGGGCTCCAAAGTCACGAAAGCTAGCGAAGCTAGCTGGAGTTACTCTTGCGATAGCAAGGTTTCTTTCGACCGGGTGCAAATCCCCTCCTCCCCTCCCCTCTCTCCCCTCTCCCCTCTCCCCTCTCCCCTCTCCCCTCTCCCCTCTCCCCTCTCCCCT